ATAAAATAACAATAAAATATCCAATCCACAATCACAAATATTATACAAAACTTATAAAACATCATTAAGATTTAATGAGATTTTTGTATTGAAAATATTTTAAGAAATTGAAAATTATTCAATCACATAGGAAAAATATTAAAACAAGTTTAGACAAAAAAACATCATTTCTTAAACATAATGAATAAATCATAGATCTATCTAACTTTCCCCACAACACTGATGTCATAGTATTTACAATTTGTTTTGAAAGATGGAGAGAACGAAAAATAAAGAAACTGAAGGAAAAAAAACTTAGAGCAAAATAATTACAAGTAATATGAAAACTTTTTTTATTGTTTAGATTACAAAAGACTATGCACAATAAAATTTGTGAAGGGTCTTCCAAAGATGGAGAAATATTTGTAGCAAATAAGATGAAGATGAATAGATGGAGAAATAGGTTTGACTTTGTATAAAAGTGATGAATATATAAGAGGATTTTCAAAAGGAAATTGGATTTTATATCATAACTATAGACGTGAAGCTGAATATTGATATACCAACTTTCAATACAAGAACTAACAATGCAATTCAAGGAAAAAAAATGTTGTATAAGCATGAATCAACTACTAAGAATATTTGTTTTATATTTATTCTTAATCTACTTATGGATATTATTTTAGTATTCATTTAGAAATGTATGTTTTATATTCTGATTGAGTATATATATTATAAATGGGTTGAAATACTTGAAATACTTCCTTTATATTTTAAGAAAGATTGACAAACTAATGTAATGGACTATTAATGAACAATGTTTAATGAAAGGAAATAAAGAGATATTTTTGTCAAAATGACACAATGCACATAGTTGGGTAGTGTGACTTTGTGATCTTAAGGAAAAGAAAAAGTTGAGATCCAATAATACCTTTTATAAGTGAAAAAAGAAGAAGCAACTTTTAGTCTAAGAGGAAAAAAAATGTGGATTAGGGGTCTCATATTGGGGGAAAGAAATAACTAAAAAACTTGTGGATATGGAAAAAAGAAAAAGAAAAGGAAGATGTTGAGAGATTGAAAAATGGCCAATTCACAGTAAAATGAATGGTTCACCAATTAAAGTTATATGAGTATTTAGGAGGAAAGTGAAATGAAAAAGTGTGAGTAACTTGTTGAGAAAATTATGCATTAAGTTAAAAGATAGATAATTAATGATGTTAGTTATGGGAGAGTAGAGATGTAAAATGATGTATGAGTCTATTATATAATTTAGCTAATAGATTATTATTATTTTGAGAAGATAATATTATAAGAAAATGTAGAAATATTGATAGATAAAATATATTTATAATTACTCAAATTTGTTAATAAATCAAAATGATTGATGACTTATTAATGATTAAAAATTTCTTGATAAAATGTTCATCATTCTGTTGATAATTACCAGCAATAAAAAATTTACCTATAATTTACTATGGTCAAAATTCATCGAAAAAATGTTTTTTAGTAATTATTAATAAATATGAATTGTTCATAAAAATTGAGATTTTAGTTTTCTTCCTCTTTTTTATTTATTTTTCTTTCTCATCCTTTTGTTATTTTTTTTTCTTTCTTGTTATTCTTTTTTTCCTCCATTATCATCATCGTCGTTTCGTCATCACCACCAACTCTTCTTTCACTTTTTTATTCTCTTCTTCATCCTCCTTCTCATTCTTTATTGTTCTCATTTCTACGATTATTGTTGTGGTCACCTCCTTAGTTGTCGTCACCATGTCTCTTTCCTTTTTCATCTTCTCGATATTCTTCTAAAAAAATTTGACATCCATTTTACCAACAAAATTTCTAACAAAGTTTAAAAAAAGTACAATTACCGACAATTTATTAACAAATTTTAAAAGAAAATCTATTAACAATGAATTTTAATATAATATGATCAAAGTTCAAAAGAAAAACTTAAAGTTCATTTCATCAAGAAAAATATTTATTGGTAATAAACATTATAAATAAATGAGATATTGTATAAAGAAGTGTTTAATTCAAATGTGGATTGAGGACTTAAATTAATTGAGGTTCTAAATTATTTGTTGGAAAACAAAATGTTCAAAATCATTTTTTAATATGAAGTGGGCAAAATTAAAGGTAAAATGACTAGAGAGTTTACATTTTGAAGAAAGTTTTAAATTGTTGAAGATGTTTTGGAAGAAATGTATGTTTGGAAATATCCAACAATGAAAGAAGAATTGCATGAGAAGTTTTGGACTTGGACAAGTATGAATGTATCTTGAGGATCAATGAAATAAAGAAGGTATTTTTATTTGAGTTCATATGATCATCCCATTATGAATTTTTCATTTATTTTATTGAGTGAGTTGCTTAACAAATGATATATTAATAAAATATTTTCAATTTCATTATACTAAATGAAAACAATTTAATGATTGAAATTTGTGGAAATAGCGCACCTGAGTGATAAAAATTACAATTAAACATATTATTTTTTATCTAACAAAATTAACTTAATAATTTCTACTATATTTTAATATAATATTTTTTATATAAATAAAAAAAAACAAAATACACTACTTAAAATCATTATGAAAATCTTATTACTGAAATTTGTTTCCATCTTATGTAAACTTTTAATATCTACAAAATTACGTGGAAAGTTTGTAACATGATGGTGTGTTATGGATTTTTTTAATAAAACTAAAATGAGGTCAAAATGGTAACATTTTAAAGGCAAAATAAAACAAACGCCATTTTTTTTTTGTTTTTAAAAAATTGTAGAAATTTTAAACATTGATTATGAACTGTTAAAAAAAGATTTAGAAAGTAGTAAAATTTGTAAAAGGATGAAAGTTTTGATGATTAAATAATTAATTAGAAAAAATAAAAACTTCCAAATTTGGTGGTAATAATTTATTACCATTATGAAGAAACAACAAAGTGTACTTATGCATGAAGAATACAAAGAACAAAGAGAGATTCTCTGTACTTATTCATGCACTTACTCTTAATTAGCATAATTACCCTTTCTACAAGAGATAAACCATGTCCACATTCATTCATGAAATAGCATAAGTTTATTAAAAAACTATAAAAGCCAAAAAGAACACAATAATTAAGATTAATGGCAACCAATTATAATTGATGGTGTGTGTGTCCACTTGATTACAAACATTAAAAAATGTTTAATTTCAATTACTAAGATTGCATGAAAGGTTCTCTCTTTCATTGCCTTCTATCATACGTCTCTTTTAGGTTTTTTTCTTTTTATTTTTTTATTTTTTTAACAACTTATTATCATATTGTCTTCTTTCTTAAATGAATTTTGGACTTTCCATGAAAGAGAAAACCCATTGAATCTCAAGATTCCATCTTTCTCCATCAACGTCAACACCATACTTTGCTTTGTCTCATATTTAATGGAAATTCATTTACATAATTCAATTTGTTCGATTTTTATATAAAGGGTAATCATAATGCATTGAGTTAAATAGGAGGGAAGACAAAGCTAAAAGTTGCGTGACCAAATCATCACCATTATGGAAATGTTAAATAAACAAATAATGGAATTTTGAATTTTTATGGATGTTAAGTGTGTTAACTAAGCAAATAATTTTTATTCTTTATCAGGCTGAAAACTGAAAAGTTGGTTATTCATATTTTTTTTTCTCTCTAAGAAATTATGAAGTGTTCACTTTATAGTTTTTACATGAAGGTTGTGTGTTTGGTATAATAAAAAAAATCAAATTATTTTAAAAATTAATAATATGTATAAACGATTATAATTCAAATTAACTTTTATTTGGATAAGTTTGATGAAAAGGGGTTCTAAGAATTAATTTCTTTTGAAAAAAAAAACAGATTTTGTATGAGGAAAAATGACATGCATGGATGAAGGTAAACAAAATCATAAACTACTTGTTTTAGATTCACAAAAACAAGTTATTTTTACATATTTCCTTTTACAAATTTCAGCTGCAAATAGCTTTTTTTTTATATATTAAAAAATAGTGGAAACCAGAAAAAAAAAAGAATATATATTTTTTTCCAAACATGATCAATATATAATCAAATTTATTGATTTTACTACTTTTTTTTTAATGTGATGTTCCCAATGAAAGGTAGAAAACAACCATTTACTGAAAATTTATAGGAATAAGAAACCTTCACCAACTCATTTAGTTACATTCTCTTCACACCAACATATTTGAAAATTTCTTAAACTCTTAATTATCAATGCCAAAACTGTTTTTGAATGAAGATTTAGCCAGACTTAAGTGCACCTAATTCCATATCTTTTTCTTCTCCCTGAAGTTAAAAGGTACACCAAAAATTCAACTTTGGTTGAACTACAGTTACATTAGGTTCCTGTTGCATCCACCAAGGTCAACTTGCAAGTGAGTCACAGGTCTACTTGCAGCAGCAGAAAAAAGGGTATGGGAAGAACTGAAAAAAAATGGATTTTTCAGTGGATTCATTACTGCAGAGTCTGGCCCATTTCAGAAGAAAATTCTGCAATTTGCAATTTGCAAGTGAAGGGGAACTGAGATCAACCAACCATCACACTACACTGATGCAAGACACTGTTGAAATGATGAAATGAAGCATGCCACAGCATTGGTTATATCAGCATCAGAGTCACACAAAATTAAATATCACAAGACCAAAGGTTGCACCACGGGACACGTGGAGAGAGAGAGTCAATAGGTTGATCCAGACATCAAACTATGCTTTGGGGGATAAGTACAAGTGTTATGTTACACTGTTTTGAATATCTCTTCATTCATTTTTGTATTATTGAGGATGTTATCGAAGGTTTCAAAGTTCAAAGACACTTTTACTGATAACATTAACTGCAATGAAAGAAACATACACGTTACACTTAGATTTTTAAGTTTGACAATATTATAATTAGTGAAGTTTAATAATGCAAGAGATGAAGAGTTATTTGTGAGGAAAGTATGTTGCATCCACAATCCAAGAATGTGGTTTTGAGAAATTGGTTAGATTTGGAAGGAACAGATACTTTGCTTCAAAGCATAAAAAATTAAAAAATTCTTTTCCCTTTAAAGCAGTCTCATAAATGACCCAACCAAAGGGTCATCCTGAATCAACATAAAATCCAACACGTATACCTTCTTCATCCCCAATGATATAAGCAATATGTGTTAAGACTTATAGACATTTATCAGCATAGGCCATCACCATCCCATACCAATAAAAGTACAAATCACTCTCTCTCTTTTGTTTCTTTTAATCTCCAAAAAAAAAGGGTAAAAGCAACACCAAAATCCTTGCGTGTCCGAAACCTCTCAAAGAAATTGCAACCTAATCAAAGACAGCGTGAATGTTGTTGAACACTTTCTGAAATTTTGGGGGAGTTTGAAATAAATAAAAGAAGAAAAACAGAGTGGGCGGAAACAGAGTGAGGAAACAGAGGATATTCATATGAAGAGTGAAGTGAGCTGGAGAAGAAAGAGTCAACCTGGGAAAGCCGGGAGAGTTTTTGCTGGAGGGAATTTTGGATTGCATCCATGAAATCACAACAGCACTTGCTTTTGCTGATAGGATGAGCGATTCTGCATACAGAGTCGAAACCACACCACGCCTTGCTCAATGGAGAATCGAAAACTTGGCTTCTTGCACTTACCGAAAATCCGATCCTTTCAAGATCGGAAAGTGGAACTGGTATTTCTCTATTCGTCTGTATGTTTATTTGTCCGTTTCTTAAAAAAAGAAAGTGATCGTGTTTCATTTAAAGAACAGAAGACTCACAAGTGGGGTTGTGTTGTTTGATCAGCAGATTATGCAACACCCCACGTGGTTTAATTGGTTTTGGTGTGTGATGAAGTGTTTGGTACCTCAGAAAGTTTGTTTTTTGCGCTGTAATTTGAAGACCCTTGTTTTAGATTTTGTGTTGTTGATTTGGTGTCAGATTGGAACAAAGAGTGTGGTTTTGATTTTTGTATATATGTTTTCTGGTTTGAAATGAAGGCATTTGTCTGTGGAGAAGAACAGGGTTTTGTTTGTTAAATTGTTTCCAGAAATATCGAATCTTACAAGAGACAACCCTCCAATTGCATCTTTCATCATTCGGGTTGTAAGTTCTGTTGGAGATCGCAGGGCCATCATACACCCAGGTCTTGTTTCTTTTTACCTTTTCTCTCTTTTTTGTTGGTTCATTTTACTTTTTCTTCTGAATAGAGAATAATCAATAATCTTAGATTCTGCGTTTATTAGTATGATGTTCTTGTACTTTGTCCAAAGTGCATGATAATTGCAAATAGAAGACAATATGGCTTATCTCATGCCACTTTGTTTGCTTTTTTACAATTTCTCAAAACTGTTTTTGCTGACAAGTTCTGATCAACAGTTTATTCACTGAGTACATGCATAAATCTTCTCTTTTTTTACATGTTGCAGAAATAAAAGACAAAGTTCTAAAGAACAACGAGGATTTTGTTTGGGCAATTGAGGTTCCACTAACTGGGAAATTCATTATTGACGTTGAGTTTCTAGATTTGAAGACTGCATCCCCAAACGTATGTTCTAAATACACATTTCTTTAGATATGGTTGTTTCTTTAGTGTTTATTGCAAACGATGATCATTTCAAGGCTTTGTAATCCACAGTCATAATCATGAGCACTTAACTAAATCCTTCATCTGGCATTATGGAAGATCATCAATAATAAGCATGAAGATTGGTGGTGACAATGGATTAGTACCTACAAAGTAGAAATCTTTTTACACTGATCATGCATATACCTTATCTTAACTTGGAATGTTATATCTGAATGCAGAGTGGAGAACCTTGTTCCATTTGGGCAGAAGGATTTACTCAGCAAAGATCAAATGCAAATGCCATAGAGTGTCTTGGTAGAATGCTAACAGAAGGAATCCACACTGACATCACCATCAATGTTTCTGATGGAAGTATTGGAGCTCATAGAGCTGTTCTTGCTGCAAGATCACCCGTATTCCGCAGCATGTTTTCACATAATCTTCAAGAGAAAGAGTTGTCAACCATAAACATCTCAGATATGTCACTCGATTCATGCCAGACTTTTCTCAATTATCTCTATGGAATCATCAAACATGAAGAGTTTCTGATGCATAGGCTGGCCCTTCTTCGTGCAGCTGACAAGTATGACATATCTGATCTAAGAGATGCATGCCATGAGAGTCTTCTTGAAGACATTGACACAAAAAATGTACTTGAGAGGCTCCAAAACGCTTCTCTATATCAGTTGATGAAACTGAAGATGACTTGTATTCGGTATCTTGTGAAGTTTGGCAAAATATATGAAATCCGTGATGATTTCAACACCTTTTTGCATAATGCAGATAGGGATCTGATTGCCGAAGTCTTCCATGAAGTTCTTGATGCTTGGAAAGGATTTTGAAGATATGGCAACTTCAAACAAGTATAGTAACATGGTGTTACTTAACATACTCAAGAAATAGGTTGTTGTTTCGATTTGTTGTGCAGGATTTGTTTTCATGAACCTAATTCTTTCACTCAGATGGATTACTTCTACGATTTTATGTACATTCTTATGTTGTGGTCTTCAAACGTAAACCACAAGTCATTATTGTTTACAGAAAATGTAAATCATATGAAAGGAAAAAAAAACATATGTTTATAAATGCAAATGGATCTGAATTGTGATGATAATTGATTGCTGCATTCTGTTTTATAATATACATATCATATTGTATTTTTGTGAAAGTACAAACACCATTATTAGAAGCAAAGAAATAATGTCTTACACCTTTAATGACAAAGATGAAGAGTTTTAAGTATGTAGATTCGAATACACTTAATGATTAAATACAAATTAGTAATAATAGTTTAATAAATTTGATTATAGTTTTAATATCTATGTCATTGGTCTTTTCAGTTTGAATGTGATTTTCTCTCTATATCAAAAATTGGGAAAAGAAGAAAATAAAATTCTCCTTTTATTTCCAACAACAAAAAAGTAGCACAATTTATGAAGATGAGTGCATTAAACAATTTAGTGAAAGGGAAACTCAAGCAAATTAGCAAAATGGTAAATAAGACCACTAATTTTGTGTTAGCAATTACCCAAATATATGGTGTAACATGAGATATGAATTGATTATTTTCATAAATATGATATATTTTTTAAACCAATGTTCAAAGTTGTTGCATAAATTTGGAGACCATAATCTTATAAAATTTGCAGCTATTTATATAACAATACTCTTTAAGGGGAAAACTCTATAAATTTCCATATGTTTTGTGCTTTGGATCATCATTAGAGTTTAGGGGAGTAAGAGTGTTCTTAGACTACATAGGTATACTCCTACAACGTTTTAAATTTAAGCACCACTTCAAGTGGTATCCAAAACTTTTAACTTGCTAGGACCAAATCTCTTAGTCAGTGTATTTAAATATTTAGGTAGAGAAATCTTGAGATTTCTGATAATGTGAAAGGAATAAGAAAAAAAGTTGAAATATGGTTACCAAGTCACATCAGTATGATATCTTCAGATTTTTATCAGACAGAAGTGGTTGATATGCTATGGACTGAGCTCATATTATTCAGTTTCAAAGCAGCACACCACTGCTTCCACTTGTCTTATCATAGTTGTCAGATAATAAGACCAAACATCCATACTAGCTTCTCAATGAACATGAAAAAACATGGCTGAGACGTAAAACCAAACATTTAACAAAACTCCATGTTTCACAATCGTTAGTAGTCATGTAACACAAATCCAGAGGGTTTCCTAGTGGCTTATTTTCTTAACTTGATGCATTATTTATTTATATATATTCTCCACTTCTTGTGAATTGTATATTAAAGGGAATATTGAAATGATGATACGATGACTCTCTTTGACAAGCACTTTAATATCAAAGAAAGGTCACTTCATAGCCAAGCTAAGAAAAACGACTCCATTGTCTCCCAATAATAAAACACCTATAATGGCTAAGAAGAAAGATACTCTTTTCCATTCAAAAGTGTATTTTGTTCTGCCATCAAAACGACATGGAAACTGCAAATATGGACCACCAAGTTTTGCATACATAACATGCAACACAAAGAAACACAGCTTTCTTTGAGCTCCACCCAACTTTAACTTAGCATCAAAACCAAAACCATTCAGCTAACACAGGAAACTAAACCCAAAATTTATTCAGTGTTCTTAATTGACAAGAAGGTGAAACAATACACAACACAAAAAGTTGATGAAGTACTCACCTCTTAACCAAAATTCTTGAGGGTTATCCTTATCGATCTTAGTATTCTTGTCCAAAAGTTTCAGCTTGGAAGAGAAAAGTGAAGGAACAGTGAAGTTAATAAGCAAGTGCATTATGCTTTATGGTAGACATTTTGGCAAGAATATGGAATATTACGAGGATCTTCTGTTTCTTGCTGAAAGTGTAATAAGTGCATAATTTTGTTTTCATTATGAATACGTAATTTTCGACGGTGACACAAGACTTTAGTTCTCTCTTGCTATAGGAATATCTATTTATTTGTTTGAAATTTTATAAGATAATAAGAAAATTGATAGGTAGACTATAGGTTAATATAATTTTAAGAATGAATTTAACTAATGGAAAAATGGTTTAAACTTCGTTAAATTCCAAAAGTTTATTTCAAAATTTCAAGAAAATACTCTAAGTTTATTTTAAACTTGAATAAATAAACCTGCTTAAATACTTCTTTTTAATATATTTTAATAAATAAATAATTAAAAAAATATATAATTTTAATAAATTTATTTTATTTTTATTATTCCTCAATTATTTTAATCTTTTCCTCTTCTCTTACTTCTAAATTCTACGTCTAACCCTTGCAGCATGACTCTCACCGCCCCGCCGCACCTGTACTTCAGCCCCGCCGCACTTGGACCTCACCCCATATGGTTGCCAAGAATCAGATTCCGGTTTGCTTTGCTTAGGTTTCTTCTCTGTTTTCGTTTTCATTCCTTTTATCACTTTTATTTGTATCAATTCTTCATTTTGCTGCGTTGCTTTTAGGTATTTTTTTGTTTGATATTTTTCTCTCTCAATATACCAAAGGGAAATTTTTCAAGATTTCAAGCAGTAGATTTTTAATAGGGTATTGTATTGCTCTTCTATTTTGCTTCTAGAAGATGCCAATGCTTGCTGAGAAGAAACCAATTCAGACCTCGTATCATTCAGAAACTTCTTCACCTGACAATATGCTTGTTATTTGCCCCTTTTGCTTCTTATGTTTCTAACTTGCTTTTGGAAAAGTCTTTGTCAATAATTACGTAAAAGTGTGTTAGAATCCTTTGGAGTGGAACATTGTTATAGTTAATCTTTTTGTCATGGCCTTCTCAAAAGACTCTATCCTAATTGGAGTTTTGCAGTTTTAAAATCTTCTCTCATCATATATATATCATGCCTCACAAAATGTTATACTTTTGTGCAGCTTGGATATTCCTATATACATATGTTAATGTGATGTTACTTCTCAGTGAACAATCTGTATCAATTCATAATTTATAGATAGATGATGTTAACTAATATCTTAAACTTGGTTGAAAATTTTATAATATTATAATGACTTGAGGGATGTAAATCTTCTCTAAATATAAGTAGTAGTAGATTTTGTTTATAGGTAGTAATAGAGGAAGTTTGAATCATATCCCTGTTCCGCACAATTTTGTTATTCTGCTTTTATCATACAAAAATTATTATTTCTCACGAAAAAAAAGATGTGTATGGATACACCATCGTTTGAAGACAATTTTAGAGTTATTATTTGTTACTTACTTGAGTATGAAACCTAACCAGCACAACCTCTCACACACTCACAACACGAAACAGAACAATGAACGAATGAATTTCTTTTATTGATTGTAATATCTCAATAAACAAAAGTAAACAAGGGTAATTGGGAGCATAACCTCCTTCAATTACTTGGGAGCATAACCTCCCTCACAAGAGCATAGCCGCCTGTCACAAGACTCAATAATCAAAAGCATGTCCTAAACAATAGCATCTAGCTTTATTTATATCAATAATTCTATTTATTGTAATTAACTTATACTGAATATTTTCCTAGGATATAATTCTATTTACTTTAATTAACTTATACTCAATATTTCCCTAGGATATAATTCTATTTACTATAATTAACTTATATTGAATATTTTCCTAGGATATGGCCTTATTTACTATAATTATTTCCCACTCATCCTAACTGTTGTCCCAACTAGGATAGTCACTCTTCAACCGATCGGCTCTAGCTCTTCATCGCCTTCCGTTCGGCTTGCTTCCCCCGGTATCCTACCGTTTGGCTCCAACTCTTCACCACCTTCCACTGTTCGGCTTGTTTCCCCCTGTCTCCTACCGTTCGGCTCCCCTGCCTTTTATCCTATCACCCAGTATCCTAACATTATTGGAGGAAGAAAATGCAAATGTTAGTATAAGAATTATTTCTAAACAAAATGTATTTTAATAATTAAAGTTTTACTGAGACATAATTTGATATTTATTTAAAAATGTTTAATTGCACTCTAGGAGCAGTAGAGTGGTTTAAGTTTTTTAAATTTCAATTATGAGTTACATTTGCAATTGAAGCAATTAAGTATTCTTTATCTCAATCTAAAGTATATTAATAACATACTAGTTGAAATATCCATTTTATAAAAGATAATTTTAAATACTTAAAAGGGTGTTTTTAGGAGTAAAAAAATATTTATCTCTACGAAGATATCTAAGAATTTTTTTTTATAGAAAAAGTATCATTTTTTAGAAAAAATTTATTCCATGGAGTCCCTTCTTTCTTTCAGAAAAATTCTACCACTTTAATAAATCTTTGTATTAGTTTTCTTTAACATTGTGGTGCAAACAAATGCTTCAAACTCGTTGCTATCCTAATCCCTAATTTTTCTCTCGCTCACCATGGTTAGCCTCAGACACAGGCATTTCTTGGTTTCCTTTCTACTTTTATTAGCCTATCAAGTTCTGTTTTCGTGGCAAATTCATGTTTTGATAAATTCGTTCTGAATTTGTTTCTCAATATACACCTTGTAAATCTGAATAAAATCCTTTCTCACTCGCATATTAACTGCTATACTATACATTTGCAGTTTTAGCGAACATAGGTCTGTGCTGATACTGTTGCAGGAAATCCAATGTTAATAGATATCTCTGGTAGATGAAAGAAGTGCGTTACAATAGGCAGTAGAAACATGATTTCATTGATGTTTATCATGTTTAATCACCTCAACAAATTGACTGTGTTAGAGTCCTTCACAATTATAAATCTATAAATGCAGGGGAGATGGTGGTTGGACTAGCTAGAGGAATTATCTTTGATGAAACCGGTAAGGAGTTATCAAAAACTAGCTGCTGGTGGGAGAGGCTGGGGTTGCCAAACCAAAATGAAGGTCAAGCAAATGCTTCACCAAACCATAGATCTGTTGTACTCTAATGGACCAACTTCTGTTAATGATTACACTCGTCTTGTGCTTCATTGTGCTCGAGCCAATGACTTCATTCAAGCAAAGCGACTGCAGTCTCACATGGAACTTCACCTTTTTCAACCCAAAGATTCCTTCATCCACAACCAACTCATCCATTTGTATGCCAAACTGGGCAAGCTCGCAGATGCTCAAAACGTGTTTGATAACATGACTAAGAGAGATGTTTATTCTTGGAATGCCTTGCTTTCTGCTTATGCAAAGATGGGCACGGTTGAGAATTTACATGTTGTCTTTGATCAAATGCCTTATCGCGATACTATTTCATATAACACATTAATTGCATATTTTGCTAGTAATGGACATTCAGGCAAAGCATTAGAAGTTCTTACGAGAATGCAGGAAGAGGGGTTTCAGCCTACCCATCACTCCTATGTGAAGGCATTGCAAGCATGTTCTCAGCTTTTGGATTTGAGGCATGGGAAACAGATTCATGGAAAGATTGTTGTTACTGATTTGGAAGGAAATACTTTTGTAAGGAATGCTGTGACTGATATGTATGCCAGATGTGGTGATATAGATAGGGCACGGTGGTTGTTTGATCGAATGATTAATAAAAATGTTGTTTCATGGAATCTCATGATCTCTCGGTATGTAAAATTGGGAAAACCTGGTGAGTGCATACATTTGTTTGGTGAAATGCAGTTGTCAGCTTTGAAACCTGACGTAGTAACAGTTTCAAATGTTCTCAATGCTTACTTTCAATGTGGACGTGTAGAAGATGCAAGAAATATATTTAGCAAATTACCGAATAAAGATGAAATTTCTTGGACAACCATGATAGTTGGTTATGCTCAAAATGGAAGAGAGGAGGATGCTTTGATGTTGTTTGGGGACATGCTACGTAGAAATGTTAAACTTGACTGTTACACCATTTCTAGTGTGATTTGCTCCTGTGCTAAACTAGCTTCGTTGTACCATGGTCAAGTTGTCCACGGAAAAGTAATTTTAGTGGGCGTTGAGAATGACATGCTTGTATCAAGTGCCCTTGTTGATATGTACTCCAAATGTGGAATCACTTTGGCTGCCTGGGTCGTTTTTGAAACTATGCCTATTAGGAATGTCGTCACTTGGAATGCCATGATTCTGGGTTATGCACAAAATGGACAGGTTCCTGAGGCCTTGGCTTTGTTTGAAAGAATGCAACAAGAAAATTTCAAACCTGATAGTATTACTTTTGTGGCTGTCTTATCTGCTTGTATCAATGCTGATATGGTAAAAGAAGGACAGAAATATTTTGATTCTATTAGTGTACAAGGAATGACACCCACATTGGATCACTATGCATGTATGGTCACTCTCCTTGGTAGGTCAGGTAGAATTGATAAAGCAGTGGATCTAATTCAAGGTATGCCTCACGAACCAAGTTGCCGTATTTGGTCCACGTTACTATCTGTTTGTACCAAAGCTGACCTAAAGAGTGCAGAGTTGGCAGCTAATCATCTCTTTAAATTGGATCCACATAATGCTGGACCTTACATAATGCTTTCCAATTTGTATGCTGCTTGCGGAAGATGGAAAGATGTAGCTGTTGTAAGATCTCTCATGAAGGAAAAGAGTGCAAAGAAGCTTGCGGCCTACAGTTGGGTTGAGGTTGGGAATGAAGTCCACAGATTTGTTTCAGAAGATCACTCTCATCCAGAAGTGGGAAAAATCTATGGAGAATTGAACAGATTGATCACAATATTTCGACAAATTGGTTATAATCCTGATATAAACATTGTCCTACACAATGTGGGAGAGGAAGAAAAATTTAGATCCATTTCCTACCACAGTGAGAAACTTGCTCTTGCATTTGCTTTAATTAGAAAGCCCAATGGGATTGCACCAATACGGATCATAAAGAACATACGTGTCTGTGATGACTGCCATGTATTTATGAAGTTTGCATCAGTTACTATAGGGCGACCAATCATTATGAGAGATTCAAACAGGTTTCATCATTTCTTTGATGGGAAGTGTTCTTGCAAGGACAATTGGTAAAGTCTCAATCAGATGGTTAACTGCTTTACTTTAACTATTTCTAAAAGGAAGGGTGCTAGCGATGTAATATGCACTTTATCCATTCTAAAAGATTATGAAACAAGGGAGAAAGTTATGATACGGTTCAAGACTTCCTAGTATTAAAGCAGGTCTGTTGCACAAGAATACTAGGTGAGAAGTACAAGTTACAGCATTACCTCGATGAAAATTTCGTGGCAGCAATGCAATTTAAGATGTTTTGGACTATGAGACAAGTACGCTCTTAATTCATTAATTAATACTTGACATTGAATGAGCTGGTTTTGAGATTTGAATGGAAGTGTCGAAAAATACCCTCACAAAAGTTGCAGGGAAATTGGAGCTAAATATTGTTTGTGACTTATTCTATTCAATATTTTGGTAGATGCAATCTATACCTTCAGGTAAATTTGAATTATGATTGTACATATTTAAAAAGTTTTTTACATTTTTTACCAATATAGAAAAATGTCTAGTTGTAATGTTGTATAACAACATCTTATATTATTGACAGGAAACTCTTGCGGTTCCATCACCTTCAATTTTTCTTACAGTTGTTTGTTTCTTAGTAGGTCAGTTTTAATTGCAACTTCACCTTCAATACATGCTTGTTTTCATTTTTTATATTTAATAACTGATCATTGATCAACTAATCATATAGTAATATTATATGTATTGGTATTAGTGTTTACAGAATATTGTCATGTCATTAATGTACATACATGGATATTGGTTCTCTATATCATTGAGTGTGTGAAGTTTGTAGAAGATCCACTACTTGGGAAAGAACTCTGAATTGAATTTTGTGTGCATGCGAGGGAAACTATAAATAAATTACTATTCTGAGTGCATTTTGCAGTGTTATTTATTTCCATTGCCTCTTTACAATGGTAAAGATGAAAGGATAATATGGTGATAATTTTGTCAGGGATGAACATAACAGTCAGCACCACCTGAATGCGATTGGATCTTAAATCTTAAGTTGTCATCTCTAGTATCAATGCCTGAATTCATTGATACGCCTGCTTTCGTAATCTCCACCAAGGGTTCTATGCATTTGACTTTTGCGATAGGTCCTGTCCCTCTTAACTAAGATGTGGTCCAGGCAGCTCTTTTATGGTAAGTAGTGCTTAAATTGGTTTCAATTTTGAGTATCATTCTTAAATAATTATTGGGTCATTATTCTTGTTGTTAGATTTATTATCTTTATTTTATATTTATCTTTTATCTTTAGTTAATCTGTTCATATTTCTTCTATTATAAGTAGAGGACCCTATATGTATTTTCAACACAAGAGAGATTAAAATACACAAGAGAGATTAAAATACACAAGAGAGATTAAAATACACAAGAGAGATTAAAATACACATCGTTGTCCCTATAAAACCCTAAATACATTATTGCAAACCCTGAGAGATTGAAGCTGCTGCATCAAACTTTCCACCCCTGCCGCCGCCGTCAGTGCAGGTCGCTTCCAGCACTGCCAGCTTCTCCGTCTTCGACTACTCTCCCTCTTTTCAAGTATGCTTTTTAGCTTTGTTTCACGTTCAGTATCGTATATTGCTCTGTTCTAGTTACTCCGTAAATAATCTCATGATTGTCATATATTAATAAATAATTTTTATGTAAATTCTAATGTAGTGATTTACTATAGCTATAACCCAGCAACTGGATTTATGTTAATGAATTTCTTTGAGGAGTTTCTAGATGCTTCAAGTTTATCTAGTTTTACATATAATTCAATGGATCATATTCCTAACATGAATGCTAACATGAATGCGATAGTCTTGCTTCAACATTTGATTATGTAATTGAAGTTATATGGTACTCTAGTCCATTCTATATGTGCAACCAATTGATTTGTTATTAAATAATGTTTACAGTGTACGATATATACGAGAAAGTCTGGTATTTAAAAATTTGTAGAGAACATTTTCTCATTCAAACTATGGGGTTAAACCAAATAATTCACAAAATATATCCTTCCAGTCATATGGTTATGTATGTCAAAATCACAATCACGTTCGATCAAAGACTTTTGTAGATTTTCTTCCTTGTCAAATCGATGGTTGTTATATTGGAGGATTTTTTTAAGAGGTGGTGAAAGTGTCTTGGGTGAAGAAGTGATACTTTTGATTTTGCTCAGCTTTATTTGTTACTATTGATTACTATCTTCCGTGTAAGACAAACAACATACACTTGTCGGCTTGCATTTGTTTTTTTTTCTGGACTACCTGGATTGTGTATAGTGGCATAAGATGTATACACAAGCATTTAAGGTGAATCTTTCTTACTCAATTGGATATCTATTTAGATTTGTATAAGTAGAATGGACTCAGAGGCAATAAATTAACCATATTATTGCATTTAAGGATGTGTCCTTGATGCTAATTCCAGACAAACAAGACCCACCCACAAAACAGAAAGTAGGTTTTTGATATAATAATGCTTGCATTTCATGACAATAATAATTTAAAATAGGGAGCTAAAAGGGATAATTTATGAAAATGGTATCATATTCTTTAGAAATTATATAAATGGGTAAGCTTTAAAAAAATTACTCGTGCATTATACTGCCGTGTTTGCATCTCATGCCTTCTTTTTTTGCCTTTTAACTGGAAAAGAATCATCAAGTCAGTCTGTTTTTGTCGTATAATAAACAAAAAGTTGTCGGATTTGCCTTTTAATGAAAAGGAAGAGGCGTGTCTAACAAAACTTAATTGAAGTAGTTTTTTTAATAACTGTGTAATTTAATAGATACTTTCCACTCTCTTTTAGAATTATATATAATATATTTTTAATTACATGTCTCCCAATTTATGTTTATTTAATTTTTTTTTACCAATAAAATGTTAGTATATGGAATATATTATAAACTATAATATACTAATAATAAATAAATATAGGGAAAATAAAGTTACTGATTTAAGAACTAATTCATATTGTTTATTACTTTGTAATACTTTATATTTTAATATATTAAAATTTATTTAAAATCTTTTAGTTTTTCAAAAAATATTTGTATTACCAAACTAATTTTTTTTAAAAAAAATTAGTCAAAATATTATAACTGTAGAAAATAATTTGATTTGAAGAATTCTAATTTAAAAGTAGCAATTACTTCTTTTAGAAAAATAACAGCCTCAAGAGCTGAAATTTCAAAAAATATATATAAGAAAATCTAATAATAAATGAGGAAAGAATAATACATATGTATCTATAAATAGAAGTTAAGTTATAAGCTTTGAAGTGCAAATTCTTTTAATTAAATCAACAACATTTTTCCAGTAAACTTTTAACATATTTGTTTTAAATAAAAGGTATAATACACTGTATTGATTGATGGAATACAGGTGAGGCCATATTTGCAAATGTGCATAATTTTTTTATAATATCTTATTTTAATAAATTAAAATTTAAGAAAATTAAATTTATAAAGAAAAAACTTATGAGTAGAAAAATGATTAACCGTTATCCTATTGTGATTTAATAACAAGTTGAAGGTGACGTGATTTATGGGTTCTTTTTACTAAATTAGTTTTTTAATTTAAAATATGAATAAAGGTAAGTTGTGTCATCTTAACACAATAATTTTATTATGAAGTGTAATGTAATATAATTTTAATGCAAAAATATTTTTAACCTCAAATCATGTTAAAATGACTATGGTTTTATTTTTATGCATTTTAAATTTATTAGTTTAAAATATTTTATGCTTATTTCAATTTAAAATACTACTTTCATCCACTTTTTGTTATATAATGAGGTGTAAAGCCTTCATTTTTTTTATAGTTCTATAAATGTTCTGACTTTTATGTTACATATAATACATATTCTAAAGAATAAAGACATATTACATGAAAATAAATAATTAAAATTTGAAAAAATACCATTATCTAACATTAAACTTACATATGTTTTATGCTTTTATTTTCTAAACCTGTGTGTTATTATATAATTTGACCCTTTTAAAGGTTGAGAATTATTTTAGAAAACAAAGTAAAATAGTAATTAGCAATTAAAAATTATAATTAATTTAAAATTTTATTATATATGTTTAATTTTATTATGATTTTAAATTTTATTTGTTTAATTAATAATTATAAATATGTTAATTTTACTTTTAAAAGTTACTTTATCATTAGAGGGTGAAGTTCACTGTAATATAATTATTAAAATTTGTGTCCGAAATTTGTTGATAAAAACAAAATATTGAATATAATTAGTTAAAGTGTTGGGAGTGAGAACCACTTGTCCATAATTGTAAGGTAAATCATCCCTCTTAATTATTATTTATATGTATATCATACTCGAAACAAATACTTGAATACAGCTAATGTGTACCTAACATTTTTAACCATGTTTTCACTAATGTTATAGTTTTGTGTTTTTCTACAATCAGCACACTAGTAAATTTAATACATTATAAAAAAATTAATATAGTAAAATATTAAAAGAATCGTCATTTATATTAAATAAGTATATATGCTGGCCTGGTAGATGTAAAAGTTTTTTCCATTAAAATTTAAATATAACTTCTTTGACAACAATGACTTGGATACTATTTATTTTCAGCATTAATCTCCGTGTTTTCCAAGAATCACTTTATTTGTGACAAGTTGTGAAAACTTTTTAACTAAAAAATAGAATAAATGTCTTGTGTCATTTTCAAAGCAATTTGTATGTCCAAGATTACATCTCTAGATTCTGTACTTTTTTATAAAGTACATAATTTTTTTACTATAATTTAACATATTTTAAACTATCAAAATCAATATATTTTATTTACCATTATGAATATTAATATTATAGTAATCCAATGATGAGTGTTTTATCCTAACAGCTGCAAAAGCACCAACCGCTAGCAGGTTTTTTCTGAACCATGCAATCAATCTGTTCACATCATCATGACCAATAAGATAAACATAATAGTTATTGTAATCTCACTATGGTGTAGGACACATTTTAACTATCAAACTTTTCTCAGAGGGATCCTTAGTTTATTTCCATTAGATCTTAAGTTTGAAATAGTGAATTAAGCCTAAGGATTAATTGAAATTGCATTTCTTACCTAAAACTTAACATGTTCATACATTATGTACATGCATGCATAAATTATTAACAACGATATTTAAGAGAGATTTTTTTTACAATATTTTGATAGAGTATATGCATCATTTTTTCATTATAGCTTTAGAGTAATTATTCTATTAATAAATAAACAATAAATCAGTAAAAAAAATATTTTTACAAAAAAAATTTAATAATATTTTAACACATTATTCTATTATTATTTATTTATTATTATATTGATGGATTTTAAAAATAATAGAAAAATAACATGGTTGTTATATTGTAAAAAAATTGTATTAACTTATCATTATTCAAATAAATTTGTTAATAATATATATATATATATATATATATATATATATATATATATATATATATATATATATATATATATATATATATATCACAAAAAATATATTTTGATACATATTTTTTAATAAAATTTTGATATAAGACAGTTGTTATTTGCTTACTAATTCATGACTGAGGTATTCTAAATTTAATAAGATATATATATATACTTTGTTCAAATATTGTTAAAAAATATTTCTTAACTTATACCACATGCATGTCCCTTCCAATGATACGAAAAAGAAACTTGACAAAGATGTTTTGTACAGTAAATATAAGCCTATTTAAGGGAAGAGAAAATTGAAAAATAATCATCTGTTTTTCACTCTCATAATCTGCATCATGAACTGGCAAAAAACCTACATTATTCTCATAGGCTTGGAGTTAACTTGTGTGGAAGCAAAGCTTGGAGATTCCAACAACAATCCCTTTCAAAGATTATGTCCAACCATATTGCTTTTCTTCCTTGCTATGTTTTCCCATTTCCTTGCACTCAATGCTGACATGAACTTGCCAAGTATCATCATAACTTTCCATGTATCAGGATTAGTTGCTTCTGAGGCACTGCTTTGGATTCTCCTAGCTGAATTCTTCCACTACTATATCATCATCAACCTACTTCTCTTTCTTTTAGCCTTCTTCTGCTTCTTCAACCACATAGCTAACATCACTCAGCTTCTCTGTGAAAAACTTTCAAATGCTGTTCTTATGGAATCTGATGAATCCCAAGTGTAATATTTGCAGCAGAACATCTCTAGGTATCATGGATATATATAGGTTATATGGTTCTGTTTTCTGCTAATATATATGTTTTCTTTTCTATTAGAACATGTTCTGGGTAGAATTATATAAGGTGCATGCAATGTTAGAATAAGAAATATTTTCAATGATATTCTACAACCAAACATATATCTAGGGTTCTGTGTATATATTATGTTCTTTCTTTCAATGTATAAATGAATTACCTATGTTGATATACATGATTTCATCGGTTTATCATTTCTCTACTTTTCATAGTTTAATAGTAATACTTATATTCTTTTTTGTTGAGTCTAATTTGTCTTTCCATGATGCTCAAAAGATTAGATGTCAGTCTAAAAACATGCCTTAATCAAAATTAAAAGATCTTATGATTGTTGTTGATCTGGGAGAAATTGAGTGATACCGAGAATGAATCTTAATTTAAAAGTTACACTAAAACTATATATACAAAATACTTTAAACTTAATTTAAATTTTAAAACATATTAAAAATTAAGAAAATAGAAATAATTGAGTTCAATAATTTTTTCCTTAAAATGAATCAAATCCCATTTGTGAATACTCAGTGTATTATGTTACAAATTTTGATGAAAAAGATAATTAAGGAAAGGAAACTCATGAAAAAAAATCATTTAGGGTTTTCAATTACTCACTTCTCAACTTTTATTATTATCTCTCTCTCAGTAGTCTTTTACTTAACATGAGTTTTTGTTTTTTTCTTTTCTATTTCATGTTTATAAGTCATTTTAAAAATTACTCTTGCATATTTATCAATTAGTTCTTGATCTCAACCTTTTAATGCTAAAATATCTAACATTAATATAAAATTTAAACTAAATCGTTGATATAGCTTATATTCACTTCTCTAAAGTTTTGTATTGATATTAATTTTATAAAATTAAATTTTTCAGATTTTGGAAAACCTTTGTCTATTAATATTTGTTTAGTCCGTTTTAAAACGAAAAGTGAGTTAGACCAAATTAACCTTTTGTCTTTTTTTAGTATGTCACTTCAATTTTTAGAATTATAATAATTAAAAATCTCTAAAAAAAATCATTATTTTTTACTTATATTCTAAGGTGTCTCTATTTTTTTAGTTTATTTAATTTATTTTTAATATTATAACTTTTTTTTTTAATTTGGTAATTTTATTCAATTGAGTTTTTTTTACTGATAAAGTTTAAATAATTAATTGAACAGATCATATATAAATTTATGTTTTCTTTCTTTTAAAAATATCCACATATCAAAGTTATTATTATATCACATATCATATCATGTATGAATGTTTTATATTTAATTTAATTTTTTATTATTTTTGTTTAATTTAATTTAAAAAATTTAAATATAATAATAATGATTTTTAAATTAAAACTAAATTTAATTTTTATATTGATATTTTTATTTTTTTAGGTCCCAGTTACGAAGAAAATTTTAGATGAGGAGTAATATTATTGAAATGTGACATGATGTTGATATAAAAAATATTTTTAAATTAAAAGTATTAAAAGAAGTTAAAAAATTACAAAATAATAGGGATATTATTTATTGTCCCACTTCAATTATTTAAAAAACTAAATTGAATAAAAAATATTAAAACTAAATTGAATAAAAAATGTTAAAACGAATAAATTTAATTAAAGTAAAAAGCAAATTAGTATTTAGGTTTTATTTTTTCGATGGAAAAAGATTACCATTTAAAATCATAAAGAAATATAACAGGTAAAAGACGAGAATAGCCTCTGACAAGTTTTAAAATACACATCGTTGTCCCTATAAAACCCTAAATACATTACTCAAACCCTGAGAGATTGAAGCTGCTGCATCAAACTTTCCACCCCTGCCGCCATCGTCAGTGCAGGTCGCTTCCAGCACTGCCAGCTTCTCCGTCTTCGACTACTCTCCCTCTTTTCAAGTATGCTTTTTAGCTTTGTTTCACGTTCAGTATCGTATATTGCTCTGTTCTAGTTACTCCGTATTGACCTAGTTGGATTTCATGTCAAATTCTTCTGATCGTGAGCATGGAAAACAAAAACTAATCTGCACAAATCCATGCTTTTGTTGGAATCTCTGAATTAGATAAATGATGTGGAGGAATAGGTTTTAGTTATTCTATGTTTCTCATAAAATTGTGAAGGATTTGAAAACGAAGTGAAATTGAACAATGTTAACGTGTGGCTCCTTAGTTAAGAGTAAGTGTCCTTTAGTATAAAGGAGAATAATCCAATCAGTTGATAAGGAGGTTTGGAGCATCTGATCAGTTATATTTTCTTGCAAACTCTGAAATTTTGTTCTGTTTCGGAATTTTCTGCTCATCATAGCTGTGTGAAGTTGCCTGCAGATGCTATTTTATACTAGGAAATATCAGCTATTGCGAACTATTTGTGATTGATAATTATGCTGCTCATAACTAGAAGTGGAGAAATAGACAATTGTTTGCCTTTTTGTATGTTTTAAATAAACTTATTTTGGGTTGCTTTTTGAACAGGTGCAGAATGGTGTCGAATCAGACTACCATGGAAATTGAGACTGGGGCATCTGAAGCCAAAGTTTTGCCACCGAAGCCAAAGTTTGAGGCGTTGAAGCCTCATGAGATGTCTGATGGACAGATTCAGTTCCGGAAGGTGAATGTTCCACCTCATCGTTATACCCCTCTCAAGAAAGCTTGGATGGATATCTATACTCCCATTTTTGAACAGATGAAAATTGATGTGCGCATGAATTTGAAGGCTCGTAGAGTTGAGCTGAAGACAAGGGCCGACACACCTGATATTAGTAACCTGCAAAAATGTGCTGATTTTGTCCATGCTTTCATGCTGGGTTTTGATGTCATAGATGCCATCGCTCTTCTGCGTCTGGATGAGCTCTACGTTGAGTCTTTTGAGATCAAGGATGTTAAAACACTTAGAGGCGACCACTTGTCTCGTGCAATTGGAAGGTTATCTGGCAAAGGTGGTAAAACAAAGTTTGCAATTGAGAACGCGTCTAAGACAAGAATCGTGATTGCTGACACCAAAATTCACATATTGGGATCTTTTGCCAACATAAAGATTGCCAGGGATTCTCTTTGTAGCCTGATTCTCGGATCACCAGCAGGAAAGGTGTATTCAAAACTAAGAGCAGTTACTGCTAGATTGGCAGAAAGGTTTTGATCCTCTCTTATTCATGCCATTATAGGATTATTTTCTTGTTCCCTTAGATTCTTTTTTATAACTATCTAGTTTGTTGAGGATGATATTGTGATGAAAATCTTCATTCAGTTCAGCTATCCAAGTCCAAATCAATCATTGTTGTGAGTGTAAAGCATACTGTTTAAGTAAAGTTTTGTCCGTGATCATGAATACATTGGTACAAATTAGCGTCATTTATGAATGTATACTGATCGATTGTTACAGAAAATCTTGTTAGCTTATGTGTGCCGAGTTCAATCTACAATAGGTGATAAGTCCTTTTAGTCTCTCTTTAAATTGACTCTGATATGAGAGAAAATCAGTAACAATCTACCATAGGTTATTATTTCTTATTCGTTTCTCATGTGAATTATATAAACTAAAACACTAATTATTGATAATCAAAATTAAAATATGTTTTCTCTTTTCAGTTATAAAATATACAAAAACTGATGTGTGGGTTGGTGTTTAAATGTCAATATGTATGAGTTATTAAAAATAAAAGGCCAAAATGACTAGAAGTTGGAGGTTATCACAGGTTAAAGATTCAAAATGTTGGATAATTTTAAATGTCTTTATTGGAAAGTGAAGTGGAAAATTAGTTGGTTAAAGATGAGAGATACCTATGATTTATTAACATTTATATTTTTAATAAGATCAATTATCATTTAAATTTCCCACTGCATAGGCAAATATTGTGGCACGTATGTATATACTTAAAAATATAAATAGTGGTGCCAGTTATTTAGTGCTGAATAGAGTCTCAGACTTGAGATTATATTGTCTATCAAAGTACTGTCATTCATTCCCAGCTCTTGGACTATTTAAGTTCGAATGTTACTTCATGCACCTCACGATTTCTTCTCACATACCCTCAAATTTTCAAAATGATCACTATGTTTCAGAAGCTTTAAGCTTTACAACAATTTTCGAATATAATTTTCGGAATAAGATTTTTTGAAAAATATTTGGGAACATTATTTCCGAAACGCATTAAAGGCATTCCAGAACAGGTTCTCTGAAATAAGATTTCCAAAATAAACTTTCCAGAATGTATATAATATTTTCTGGAATGAGTTTTTTAGAACACCCTTACATGAAATGTGTTTTGAAAAAAGATTTCTTCAATGTTTAATTCAATAAGAGCAATAATAAATAAGATTAAATAAACTTATAATCTTTAAATTTATAACCAAAACAGTAATTTGCTTTATTTTTTGTAAATTTTGATATAATTTGATCAGTGTTAAACTTTTTTATGTAAAACATTTTAAGTTTATATTAGAGTTACATTCTTTAACATGTGAAAGTAATTAACTTAAATAAATTAAAAGAATTATTTCAATTTCATTCTAAAATTTAGATATCAAAATGTATTAAAATTTAAAATATGAATAAATTTTAATTTATTGACATAATAAACGAACTAAAAATATATTTAATTTTTCTAAATAATATTAACTAAAAAAGGATATATAGAATTAATTATTTATAGATTTTTGGACCTTTGAAAAATACATTAACAGATTCTATAGATATTGTAACATCTTTTTTTAGTAGTATAAAACTACTAAAATAAAATATTACATAGATAGTAACTTACTAAAAATTACAAATTTTCAATGAAGAAGAGCTTATACTTTGGAGAACAAAACTCTATTTATGATTGTTGCTATTCTCTCAATCTCATGCTGAAAAGATTGAAAAGGCATCATCCCTAAACTCACACCATTAAGGTGATCATTGCAAAAAAAAAAACATACACAAAGACAGACAACACAGAAGCAAGGGTAAGCTAGTGTACAAAAAACGTCTCAGATAATAATTTAGTTTAACAATTAACAACATTCAAGAACAAACAATTCATACAACCACAAGACTAAGCTTCATCCATTATACTCACTTATCCGGATATAATGCTGATATAGACTACTGCAGGCATGCACTCATGGTAGTATTTATACTCTGCACAGTTATAAATAAGCGTAACTCGACCTACTCACCATGAGGTAAATCTTCTACTCCTAAAACCCAGAGGGCTTGGGTGAAGACCTCCTACCATTCTCTCCGCCACCCCATCCACTCTACATGAGTTAAATGATTGGTAGAATATTAGGATACCTGGGTACCGTAGTTTCTCTATCAATCATTCTCTTACAACTGTTAGCAAAATGATGAAGATGAAGTTTTGATGATGTCCAAATCAAGTCAAGAGAAATCAAGATTCAAGATGTTATGAAGACTTGTATTGCTATGGAAA